TGTGGAGAAGGACCGATTCCAGACTTTGGGGGACCTGCGGAAGCAGTGAACTGAGTCTGGAGTAGAAACATCCAGAGCCACCGTGTGCAGGCGTGTGCAGGAAATGGGCTACAGGTGCTGCATTCCCCAGGTCAAGCCATTTTTGAACCAGAAACAGCGGCAGAAGCGCCTGACCTGGGCTACAGAGAAGCAGCACTGCACTGTTGCTCAGTGGTCCGAAGTACTTTTTTTGGATGAAAGCAACTTTTGCATGTCATTTGGAAATCAAGGTGCCAGAGTCTGGAAGACTGGGGAGAGGGAAATGCCAAAATGCCTTTAGTCCAGTGTCAGTACCCACAGTCAGTGATGGTCTGGGTGCCATGTCAGCTGCTGGTGTTGGTCCACTGTGTTTTATCAAGCGCAGGGTCAATGCAGCTATCAGGAGATTTTGGAGCACTTCATGCTTCCATCTGCTGAAAAGCTTTATGGAGATGAAGATTTCATTTTTCAGCACGACCTGGCACCTGCTCACAGAGCCAAAACCACTGGTAAATGGTTTACTGACCATGGTATTACTGTGCTCAATTGGCCTGCCAGCTCTCCTGACCTGAACCCCGTAGAGAATCTGGGATATTGTGAAGAGAAAGTTGAGAGACGCAACACTCTGGATGAGCTTAAGGCCGCTATCGAAGCATCCTGGGCCTCCATAACACCTTAGCAGTGCCACAGGCTGATTGCCTCCATGCCACGCCGCACTGAAGCAGCCATTTCTGCAAAAGGACTCCCGACCAAGTATTGAGTGCATAACTGAACATAATTATTTGAAGGTTGACTTTTTTGTATTAAAAACACTTTTCTTTTATTGGTCGGATGAAATATGCTAATTTTTTGAGATAGGAATTTTGGGTTTTCATGAGTTATGTATGCCAAAACCATCAATATTAAAACAATGAAAGGCTTGAACTACTTCAGTTGTGTGTAATGAATCTAAAATATATGAAAGTCTAATGTTTATCAGTACATTACAGAAAATAATGAACTTTATCACAATATGCTAATTTTTTGAGAAGGACCTGTACATCACAGGATAGCCATCGTATTCCTCTACCAAGCAGTGTCATTCTCACTGAGATGGGAAGTTGCTGAGTTTTCTCTTGTGAAGCATTTGTTGCCACATTTCTGTTTGCCAGACTCATTCTAGGTCTGACGCTGAGGTACAGCTGTGTGTGTCTTATGTTCTAGGTTTAGTCATATAACTCATATCAATATCAGCACCTTTGATGCTTTTAAGTAGCCACATATAAAGAGACTTTGTGTTAATTACAGATGTTCAGAGGATCCGTTTGCCATCAACCAAGACAGGAAACTTCTTAGGAAAATTAAAATTTACTTGATTATTATTTAAATGATTATTTATGTTTTGTTTGTTTTTATAAATAATGAATAAATATGAATTTTTGCCCGGGGGCCAACAGACTCTACAATCACCACTGGAGGTTTTTGGTTTTAAATAACTACTCTCGCCACAAGGGGGCAGTAATGCAAAATTCCTTTTACTTTTAACGCCCTTCAGGCCCTCAGAATAACAAATATTAACCTGGAAATTAGCATTTTAATACCTGGGGGAATTTTTTCCCGTCACTGCTTACAGATCTCTACTGAAACTCAAAGACTTATTACTGGTTCCACCTATTTCCTGACCGGGCTCCGGATCACGGGGGCCTCCCTCTTCCCAGCCAGCTTCTCCAACTCATTCCAAGCCATCTGAGACGTAATCTCTCCAGTGTGCCCCAAGTCTGCCCTGGAGGCTTCTCCTGGTAGGACATGCCTGGAACACCTCACCCAGGAGCCATCCTGGCCAGATGCCTGAATATCTCCACTTGCTCCTTGAGGAGCTCTGAGACGCTCCTGAATAACCAAGCTCCTCGTTTTCTCCGCCTTCATCGGTGATCTCACTCACTCAGTTTCTGCCCACAGCTCATGAATATCAAACAATAACAGATGTACTAAGCTGTGGTCTACACTCACTGGCCACTTTATTAGAGACGCCTGTGCAGCTGCTCATTAACACTAATTTCTAATCAGCCAATGACACGGCAGCAGCTCAGTGTATATATGCATGTAGAGATGGTGACGACAATCAGCCGAGGGTCAAACTGAGCATCAGAAAATTGAGGAGGAAGAAGAAACTTTTAGTGTCCTATTTCAGAAACTGCTGATTGGCTG